GTGTGACAGATTAACATTATAGATTAACATCCATTAAAAAACTGATTACCATTAATTAAATAAATGGTCAAATAAATAAATAAATATAACATTTTGTTCATTTGTAAGAAGATAACCAAAGAAGGTTGAAGCTTAAATGACTTTTACATTTAATTATTGAAGTCATTGAAGTAATTTGGTTTAAAAAAAAACGTATACTCTGTACTCTGTATATTTTCTGCTCAATTATAAACAATTTTATTGTAATATGGTAAGTTATGATATGACATTCTCATTTGTTGGTCTGAAATATTGGGGGTAACAATCCCTGAGTCAACTGCCCTAAAAGTGCAAAAAAAAGTGCAAAAACTGTGAAAGCCCGTTAATATACACTAATGGGCTTTCACAATTCATCAGTTTACGATGCTAATATGGCATGGATAATGTTGGCTTTAAGGTCTGTTCTCTTATTCTGCAAAGTCATTATTTATAGCCTTAGCAATATCCTCCTGGGAACCAGCCATTCTTAAGGACATGGGTTTTTGTGATTTTCTTATCTTAAAATGAACTTAATCATGGGATTATCATGGGTTATCATGGGCTTTAATTTGGTAGCGATACCAAGTTGTTTGGGGCTTAGGCCATGACACCATCCTCTTCTTGGTTTATAAAAATATGAAAACCTGATACAGAGAACCTGTATATTATTTTATACGTGATCGTTGTATTTATTTATTTTTTTCAGATTCTTTCTTGTTTTCTAAGCAGAGTTTAATTTACTGTACAAGAAAGACATTGATTTTTTTTCTTGTGTCCTCAGTAGAGGACATTAGGACTGTGTGTGCGTGTGTTCATCTCCTGGGTAGACACTACAGATTAATTACATACTATTTAAAAATGTTCCTATGAAATAAGATACTTCTATTAAATTTATTTCAGTATTATTTGTGTTACCAGTTGCTGCTAAAAACATGTTATTATTAAAAAAAAAAGACATTGTGTAAGGTTGGGAACGCCAACTTTTTTTTAACCAACGTCTTCACAAATTGTGGATAAATCATGTTATAATACTATTATAAAAGTCTTATTTAACATTTTATGCAGTACCATTACATATCAATTCTTTTTTTACAACAGTGATTTTGTCATACGTTTATTGTGCCCCAAACACTACTATAAAAAAAAAGAAGAAGAAGAAGTATGACATACTGGAAAGTCGTGATGTGAATATCATTTATCCTCATTCTAATCAGAAACATCACTGATAATGATCAGTTCCTTGCAGTTATTTCAGAAATTTGTCTCAAGAAGTAGCTCCACATGCTGTCTGCATGAGAGCTTGTAATAGAACGAGGTTTTTTTATTCTTTTTTTCACTAGTATTTTTATAGTTGTATTTTAAAGTTTTAATGTGTGGTATCAAGTCTTTGCATTCACTACACCACAACCCTCATCAGCATTCATTTCTATATTTTGCTCCTTGGATAAAGTTTGCAAAGCCACAGAAGACCCAGACCAGAAAGCTCTCAATACAACATCTAAAACCGGTTTATGAGCATCACTTATATTTAATGGACTATTGACATTGAAGTCATGCAGCACTGCCCCCTGCTGGTTTGGATCCTCTAGAGACATGCCAAAAGTTGTTAATACTACTACTACTACTACTACTACTACTACTAATAATAATAATATTTTTTCATCAACGTTTTTACAATGAGAATATAAATATTTTAAATATTATATTTGTATAATCCCTATTTTTACAATGAGTGTGATAATGGATGTGCACAAAAACGTCTTGCAAAAACTTTCATCCTCAGAAATAACAATGTTCACTCAGAATTTTCACACAACAAACCTTAAACATAGCCCCAATTATTTGTTCTCTTGATTTAAGAGGGGGTGTATAGAAGTGGTGGGTCTCAGACCCAGTTGCCCCTTGACCCCACATTAGCACAGTGTATAGTGCTGTGGCGCAGTGGACACAAGGGTCCGGTTACATATGCTTCACAGTCTGCTGTGCTACAGTAAATGTCACACTTTGAAACCTCCAGAAAAAGTCAGGGGTCAGGTTCTTTAATAAGCCCACTTCTGCAGGGTTCCTCCTTTTTTATAGGCTGTCTTTCCCAGGATTTATGAACATCTTTACTGTTTTTAATAACAGACACTGAAAAAGGCTGTCTTGTGGAGTGTGAATCTATTATTACTTCCTTCATACCTGCTAAACATTAAAAACGTATATTATTTTGATGTACATTTCTCATATGAATATATATGTAATATTTGGTTGACTTCATTCACACTGAAGGGCTGTTCCTTGTACTTTACATTCTTTTGGTGAAACTGGAGAGCGAATTAAAAGGAAGGTGTTTTTCTTCTCTATGGTGCCTTTTGTTATAAAGGTTGAAAAGCGCTTTAAGGTTGCCCAATAAACAATCCCATTCACGATACAAGGAGATGGAGTGACGTATTTTGTATTTAAATAATACAAAAAAAGCAACATAACACCGCTTCCCATGAAACACACAGTGACATATAGTCTGCCAAGGGGAAATAAGGGACATGAAACACACATGTCCCTCTTTCTTGTGCCCACCAGTTCTTTGCTTCAAAGCCCCAGACAATAGTGCTTTCTTACCCTTCAGTATTCCAGGAGGCGCCATCTGATACCTGGCAATCAGCTAATCTGGTGCCCTAGGCGACAGGGTCACCTTTGGGCAGGTAACAATAGATTCTTTACCCAATGTGCTTTTTTGTCTCCTTCTTTGTGCGAGGGAGCAAATCCTACCTGGGCGCCATTCAATTAGCGCTGACTAACATGGGCTGGTGTACACAACTGTGCATCAAGAGAAGGAAATGTTCCCACGGCAGTAAACTGACTTTGGACGACCTGGCTCCAACTTTCACACTTTTAGAAGCAATTCGAGTTTGCATACTTTCAAGTTTGTCTCATTCATTTAATTATCTACTGTCTTATTGCATTATACACTACAATATCTAGATATGGAAGAACAGAGAATGTCCTTGTAAAATCATGTTTAGTAATACTAGTACGAGAGTAAATATCTTTTATCACCCTTTCATAATCTACCAAATGATGAGCCTGCGTTTTTCCATAGAGTTCCAGCCAAAAGTCTATTCCTGCTAGATCATGTGAGGACGGTTCAGGAAATCTAATAAGGATATGTACCTTCTCCTCATATACTCTGGCTTTTTTGGATGACCTTTACTTTGAGTAATGTCATGTCAGGTACCTTATGACACTTTAAGAGTGAGTGGGGCTTATTCAGCTGCCAGGCTTTGGCTAGAGATCACAAGCTTGATCTCCACCATGCTGCATATGTGTACGTCCATGCATTAGTAATGTCTGAGATCACCGCCAGCCATCCAGGGGGTCCAAGTTGTAGCCTGATCTGGTTAAATGGATAGAGTCTTGGATGTCATTTAGACTGACATCACTCCTGCCATTGGTTAAAAACATATAGCTGACTTACCTGGTGCTTCTAATAAGAGATGATTCATTGAAAGTGATGTCATTCCCTTTACTTATTGAATTATCAGGCTTAGGAGTCTAATGTGAAACACCGGTGTCAGTGACATAGACAACCCTTGGATCATTTATTATATATGTACAAATATAAATATTTAATAGGGTGGAAGGGTTTAGAAAAATAGGGTTCTTTCAAGCAGGACTGACGTTTTAAGCTTTCTTGTGGTTCTCGCAGTATGTACAGAGCTCATGTTTGGTGTAAAGGTGCGGTCACATTAGCAAAATTTCACGGCTGAAAAGGTCCATGCCAAATTTGTAATGATATATCACAGCTCATGCAGAAGTCACTTTCAAACCAAGCAACTTGCTGTTGGTCAACAAATTTTGCGTCACTAACTTGAACCCGTTGCGAAATCTGCGTGAGGAATCTTTCTTCCTCATGCGAAATTCCCAATCGAGTGGATTCCTACTGAAAATCCTACTGTATTTTGCTCGTGAAAATTTGCCCAACTACGGTAAATATGACCGCACCTTAGGAATATTTATCTTGCCCTACGAAGCTCACAGAATTTAGCCCTGGGCATTTTCTAATGCTAAAGGAAATGACAAAACACGTCCAAATCATTGTAAAACAGTTGTCACACAAATAAACAAAAACAAACACTCGTACTTCAGTTATTCCTGATGAATTCTTGCAAACAAATGGCTTGTTTTCTAGCCTAGCTTCCTAGTATATTAACAGTTTATGAGGAAGGCACATGTGACCAGTTGCGCTAATGGTCATGATTATATACTTAAAAAGAACACTTAAGAAGCCCACATTGGGATGCGTAGAAAGAGACATATGAGTTTGAATCAAAAATTCTGTAACATAAAATTCCTCCACAGTCAAACGTAACAAATAACATTTATCACATTTGCATCATCACACTCAAAGAATTTAAATACAAAAAAAACATAAACAACAACAACAACAAATGCATCTGTGCTTCAATAAAATCTTGTTAAAAGAAAACAATTACTATAAAGGCTTGTGCACACCGGGACGATTATCGCGCACGATTATCGTCGACGTTTAACGCCTCGTGACTAAAAGGGCGCCAATTTGAGTGTGCACACCAACGCGCAAAACGGCAGGCGTAAAAGCGTCATTTTTTTTAAAAACGCCTCGGGCTCGTTTTTTTTGGTTTGATGCGCCGCGTTAAAAACCGGCCGACCAGTGAGATTGCCGCTTTTGTTCACGTGCCTGGAGCTGCTGAAGTTACAGTAAAACACGAATTGGTGGCGCTCAAGCACAAAACGGTCTTGCTGAGCACACATTGATACCTAACGACGAAAAGGACGTAAGTAGACGAAGAAGATGCATCGAGGCAAGATGAATGTAGAGTTGCTGGTCTCATTGGTGTCTGAACACAAAGAGCTTTATGTCAAAGACAACAGCGACTACAAAAATGTCGATAAGAGGGAGTTGTTATGGAGAGGAATTGCAGATCAAATAGGATTCGATGTGTTTTTCATTAAGCGCCATCTAATGTCAGGTAGTGAATTTGCACGTTTACTCGGCTCATCGCCAGCGAAAATTGCTTGGGTATGAACTAAAAACGCTGGCGATAAGCACGCGCGATAATCGTCCCGGTGTGCACGAGGCTTTAAGCTGGATTTTTTTTTTTAATTCAGAGCACATTTGTGCTTTTTAACGGGTCTTTTCGTACATTTTTATGAGGTGAGAGTAAAGACTGTGCATCTAAATAATCTTCAGAAGGTCAGTGCATTGCCTGGTACAGTCTGCAGCCCTCTTAGTGCAAGTTGGGATATCTGAGGACAGGAAGGCACTGTTCGCATTTTATATCCATCGTCAGGGTTCATTTGAAAATTATTTGTGCTTGCAGGGTCCTTAAGGGCACAATGCGGTGCGACAAAACCAGTCTAGCAAGAGTGAAATGCAGCTCTTTTTTGCTAATGACATCATCATAGGTCACTTCCATCATCATCCATCTGTACAGTCTGCAGCTTGGCCAGCTCTTTCCCTTCCATGTCCAGATCCCCACAAACAACCCTAACTGGGACTTCTCCTGCCCTAGAAGCAACTTGCAGGCTGTTGGGCAGCTGGACATCTTGAGACCTGTAGTCTGTAGTCTCTTGGAGGCCACGTCCAGCTTGATTCAGAGCGTGGTGTACCTCAGTGCCGGAAAGGGCAGAGGTGACCGTGGCTGTGACAGTAGGGGGAAGTGAACCACCGGTAGAAGAAGAAGAAAGGAAAAGGGATGCTGTGTAGCCCAGGTTGCTGCCTTGGTCCAGGGGCATTTCAGAAGGATAAGTGTAGCTTCCAGACACATCCAAAGGCTCCTGCTTCACGGTCTGGGTGTACAGCAGGGTTTGGCTCGAGTGTTGAGGAGAGTCACTGACCACGTTGCCCAAAGGAGCAGAGCCTGAATGGGGGATAAAAGAGAAGATTAAATCCAGTTCAGTAAAGGTAGCGCTCCATGTCTGGCAAGCTTCATAAATGACTGAATATATGTGATGCATCACACGCTCATGCTCACGCTCTTATCAGTTTGATCCGGAAGTTGCAGTGAGTTCTTTGTGGAGAAACGCAATTAAAGCAATTAAAAAAAAGAAAAGAAACTTGAACTTTGTGTCAGCTTTCAAATTTTTGTCAGTTCGCAATATTTTAAACAGTAAATGTCCTTTTTGACACTCTTTAATGTGGCGTAACTGATCTCTGTATCCGCCTCAGTTCAAACTGCGGCACGAAGCGCACATGAACTGCTCTTCTGCTTTACTAAATGTTATAGCACTAAATAAACATGAATGAACATCAGAAGGTATGTTGAAAGAACTTAGCTCAATCAGTGTTTCAACCAGGGAAAGAGGTCAATAAAACAGTTTGTGAACATGTCACATGTTTACCATTCAGTGTCCATAGCTAGTAGTTAGCAAGAAAAAAAATATTTTAGAGAAGAGCATATCACAAAATATCACTTAGATATTTTATTAAATATTATAAATGTATTATATTTTCCATAATGTTATATTGATGCATTAATTATTTTATGTAGTTTGAATACATCTAAATATGTCAAAAAATGTAAGTTTGAAGTTCTAAGGATCTTTAGAGGTTATTTTCTCAGGAAAAGGACAGCTAATTAATTATATTTCATATTTTGTAGAAGCAAAATAATTACATCATTAGAAAGCAGAGACCTTCCTTTTTGATTCATTGCTAAAAAAACGAAAGTTTCAGGTTCAAATCGACACCAACGAAAATGATGGAGCAGCTATACAGTGGTAACCCAAAACACTTTGTCCGAGACATCAACCCTTCCGAGTTTAATACAATGTCCATTTCTTTTAGTTGGCAATTGCTGCTCTTACAGCTCGTAACAACTCAATTGAGAATGGATGAGAGAGAAAGGACAGAGCGTGAAGGTGTGATATGTTTATCCAGATGGGACTCCTTTGTTGCTATCTCAAGAGGTTTGCTTCTGTCCCTCTCTGTTTCTTTTATTTCATTCTTTCGGTCAGTATCTCTGTACCTCTCTTCATTCTTTTCTTCAGAACTTTTCTAGTGAACTGTAAAATGAAACACCTTTTTCATTTTCAGTTTGCGGTTAGACTCGCTATGATTTCCTTGTAACTCTAGAATGTGTTTCTTGGCACATGTCTCTTGCAGTGACAGCTGCTGGCTTTCGGCCAGACACTTTTCTTCCATTAGGCTTTGCACAAATGTCTGATAAATAATCACAGCGCCCAAACCCCCCTCCCCCGCTTCACACTTACTCACTTTCTGAAACTAGAACCAAGTTTTCTACAAGTTTTCTTTAGCTTCCCGCAGACACTGCTTGTGTGGGAAGGGGGTTGTTGTTTAAAGGGGGTCAGGAATATATTTTTCTTCCATCTTCCTCTTTTGTCATCTGGATGACTATGCAACAGAAAAATCTGAAACCATATCGCACTAGTTTTGACTTCATAGACAAAAATGGCACTGCAAGGAAATTTCTATTGTTTCTTTGTATTTGTGAGGCACTGGAGATCAAACTTTGTGTTTTTATGAAGACATGTTTTATTGAATTGCCTTGAAAATTATGGGCACAAGGAAACAGAGTTTTGGCTAAGCAATTTTAATTTCGTCTTTTTCTTGCTGGATCGTTTGGGCTCAACTGTTTTCCTTCTAAATCAACAGTTCAGCCAGGGGTGGGTTTGTTTTTATGTGGCTCGTAAACTGCATATTAAAGGATAAAACAGACGAGCAAGAGAGGAGCAGAACGCAGCTAGCCTTGCTGTTATTGATGTGGCCATAAAATATTCATGGAAAGAACCATTAGTGAGTGGTTAGGGCCATGGAGGGGAGGTGGGGAACATGTTGAGAGACTGCGTTTTGTATGATCCTCTAGCCAGTTGACTTGGACCCCCACATGCCTCTCACAACTTCACCCACAAGACACTCCAACTGCCCGTGACCCACAAGGCTTTTTTGCAAAACCTCTGCTCTTTTGCACTGAGCTCTGCGGTCACTTTTGGCAAGCTTAACCACATAAATGTTCGGTCAAAGTATTCTCCAAAGTGATGATGTAATTACTCTGGCTCTTATGAGCTCACTAGAAGTGCTTGGACTACTATAGATATTGTTGTTATTGTATCTTCAAAGACATATGCTTGAGATGCAGAGGCACACATCTTACATTTTGAACTGGAAGTGTCAGGAAAACATTATGCATATACCCAATCTACAGAAAGAAATAACCCAAAAATGAAAAATGTTGTCATTACTCACTCTCATGCTGTTCCAAATCTGTATGAAGACAAAAGAAGATTGCTTTTCTTGCCCATGCAATAAATGTTAATGCCATCCAAAACAACTTTGAACCCCAATGACATTTATTATATGCACAAAAAGACACTGAGATATTTTTCAAAATATCACGTTTTGTGTTCTGCAGAAGAAAGTAAGTCATACAGGTTTGTAACAACATGAAAGTTAGTGAATTTTTGGGTGAACTGTCTCAATATATCTAATAAATGGCCTCCTACCGTGAGTGGATGATGTTGAGGATGGGGGCAGCATTAGAGGAGGAAGACCCATGGTGGTTTCACTTCCAGGGAGATTGACCACATTGTAACTGCTGAGATGAAGGCCTCCTGTGGTAGTGGATGGTGTGGAGGGGGCCGAAGCGAAGGAGACCACTGAAGAAATGACTCCGTCTTCAGCATTGGAAACTAGAGTCTGCATGGCCTCCAGCTTTCCAGAGGCAGTTTCAGAAACCCCCATTGGGAACGGAGCATAAGACACAGAAGACCCACCTAACAGCCTCTCCTGACTGTGATGGGAGACCCTCTGGGGATCAATGGTCAAGAAATGGCCATTCGTGGCGCCAAGTCCATTCAGGAGAGAGTTGCTACCGTGTGTCTGAACGTAGGCTCCACCGTTGATGTAGTGAGCATTCATGCTTGCTAGATCACCGTTAAAACTCATTCCTCCAGATGCGTGTGAATGCATTTTGACATCTTCAAGTTGTTGGATGACGGTTGTTCCTCCATCCAAGTAAATTGTAGGGGGGGCTGTTCCATGTGCGACTGAGCTAGAAGAGCCGCAGGAGAGGGGACGTGGTGACAAGTCCTCCTGGCCTTTACTGGACTCATCTTCTGTACTGTGATTGCCATCTGACTCACTGAAAAAAAGAATCATTGTTTAAAAAACAGACCAATGGTTTAGTGTATGTTTATTTATTGCTTTGGTGCTAAAAATTTATGTTTGCCATGAGAAAGTCATTTTTTCTACAAAGTCATCAACAATTTGCAGTGTTTTGAATTTAGTCTGTTCATTTTGAATTGTTGCAGTATACTACATATTCAAGAATTTTCACTAAATTTAATAACAATAAATAATATTAAAATGCTTATAATCATTTGAAAATAGCTACTGTGTATTGTAATTATTTGTTAAACCCGTGTACTTTAAATCTGTCAAAAAAGGTCATTTTCCTCTTAATTTCTCTTAAGAGTTTCTCTCTTAATCAGTGAATTAAAAATACTGTGGAATTTCGAAATGAAGAAAGTGTGCACTAAGGCATGCCATCAACTGCTTTTTCAGTAGCATTATATGCACTTGTGTAGAAGCACTTTAGGAAATAGACTTTATAAACCAATGTCAAACTTTTAAGCACATTGCAATCACAAATATTGTTAAAGTCGACCTCTTGTGCTCTACTAAAAACAGACCGCTATAATAAAAATCATTTTCTGTAAATATCTCAGTCATCATTTCTAAACTGGACTCCTGCCCCCGGGGGTCAAACATCAGATAAAAGGATCTGAGCTCTTGGAGGCATTTGGTGGGTCTCTTTACAGACTATGACAGCTGCGGGTGCATCGTTCGGAGTGAATCGAGCAGCCAAGCCGCATCTATACAAAGATATATTGACAAGACAAGCCGTTGGTCTTTCTGAGACCAGCTCCCATAATAAGGAGTTCATGGACATCTTCGTTCAAACAATGAGTAATTATCTTTGTCAGGGTGACAGTGCAACATCAAAGCAGCGCGTACTCTAGAGGCATACGGTAAAGCCTGACCTCCCTTATTTACGAGTCTCAAGGTTTAGGCTATTATTTATGATAAAAGCAGCATTTTACGGGCATAACGGATAAGAGTTCTTTCCACCACAGTTTGAAACTCTGAACGATCTGCAAGCAAAAGTTTACAAATACAGAGCTGCTTCTTATCTTCAGATGCCTCAAGCTGTGAAGAGGATTTTGGCCACGTCAGGAGATTGAGTGCAGATCTCTCTGACTGATAATCAGGGTGGGACAATAGCTTTAAAATCCAGAAACAAATATAGACAATGGCTATGGTAATGGCTGATCATATCTAAAGTAACCCAAGGGTCTGTTTGGGTTGTATTTGAAAGCAGCAACATGTCTGTTAACATGTTTTTGTTGTCATTATCCAATTAATGTGACCCTTTTAATGAAATCTGACAATTTATGAAATGTCTACATAGTTAAAAGAGGCATATTTGTTAGCTGAACTAACAGCTCAAAATGTGGGTTTTACAAGCCATAGATGAACTTTTAAGCAATTCTTCAAATAGCGTTTTATTCTCCATATATGTACTTTAAAAATGTTTTTTTTTTTTTATTGTCTAGACTCATCCTAGAAACTTATAATGCATAATGAACTTTTTAATCTTCAAAATACCATAACTAACTCAAGAACCCTATACAACCAAAATGGCTTTAATTAAGGAAATGATTCTTTGATGAACCTAAGAACCAGTGAAGAGCCTTTATTTTTAAGAGTAAACGCGTCACGGTCTCCACGTTCTTCAAAACTGCACCTCACTGAAGCGCTCCAAGCTTCGTATTTCAAAACATTGGTGAAACGTGTCCTCTATTCGGTCTCGCGCATTCCATCATAAGTTTTCCACTCTCGATTAACGATTTAAATATAACTGCGGCTTACCTTTTTGACTGCGCCTCGGATGGATTTCTGTCTCTCTGCCTCCTATTTTTGAACCAGTTGCTGACCTGCGTCAGAGAAAGTCCTGTCATTTTGGCCAGATTTCGTTTCTCGGCTGGAGAAGGGTACCGGTTCCGCTTGTACATATCCTTCAGCGCGTTCCTAGACCTCTCTTTGAAACAATACACGGTCTCTTCTCCGTCCCAGATAGTCCGAGGCAGCGGATATTTCCTGCGTAAGCGATACTTGTCCACGGCACCCAGCGGTCTGCCCCGCGCCTTCTCCGCTTCAGTGTAGTGCGCCTTGTACCACATGTCCTGCAGAGACAAGTGGTTTGACGGACTGAAACTGTGGTTCTCCAAAATGCAGTAGAGCTCTTGGTAGCGGGCCTGGTGGAACGCGACTATCGCTTGCGCTTTCAGGATGCTCTCGTTCCCCCGCAGCATGTCACTCTGCGGCAGTGACCAGAGGAACCTGGCCAGGCGCTCCACGTTCCCACCCTGCAGCAGCGCTTCGCAGACGCACGCGACCTGCTCGGGGGAGAAGGCCATGGAGGCCGGTGAGCAGTCCAAAAGTTCGGCATTCTCCATCGGCAACTCCGCGGGGTCCAGCACTGACAGCTTGACACTCCCACGATTCTCCCTCTTGATCTCATCGGCACTAATGACCTCGCTTGAGGAAGAAGACATTTTGAGCGCGTACTGATAAGTCACTCCTCTGGGTTTCAGGCAGCACATCAGGCGATCGGATTTCGCCCCTCCATCCAAGCACGATCAGGTATCTGACCGCTGTGTGGTGTGCATAAGATCTGGCGTCCCCAGTTCCACCACAAGTTTAACTCCACAGCCCACTTTGGAAAGGAGTCCAAGTCCTGAGCGCATTTTGATTCGCCGCTCTGCTCCTGCGGGGAGGAGCGACGGGGATGTGAAGACAAATGTTTGCGCTGCTGGGAACGTTCATCAAGCGTGCAGTACAAACGCGGGTACCTGTGAAAGTTAATGCAGGCTGCACTTCGTCCACACGTACGCAATACAAGCACGAGATTTCACATTTTCAAGTGTACAAAATAGTTGCTTCTTGTTCAGCGTGTCATCACTCAGTAGTTACTCTCAGTATTTGCTATGAGGCCAAAATATGCCTTCTCTTGAAGAGAACAGCATCATTTTTTTAAATTACAAATTATAAGCTATAGCTTAATGGATGATATCATTCCATGACCATCACCTTCCAGAGGTGATAGTCGAAGTTATAAGGCTCTATGTAAAATATAAAGAATTTACAATAGAAAACCATCTTTGAGATATAAGAAAGTGTAAATTCATGTCATGATGATGGTGTTAATAACTGTTAAATGACTGGTATCATCTGAATAAGCAGATTGTGTTGTTTAATGATATAAAGCATCCAGCTTTTACTAGCTTTTCATCCATATGTTTATCAAAACAAATATCATGAGCAGATGGGCTGGGTTATTTTCCATTTTACTTGTCTATATTTGTCTATATTTGCAACAGTCTAAGTATGACGAAGACACACACAGTTTGTCCTGCTTCATGTATTTATATATTTTATTTGCTGTTAAAATACCCTATTTACTCATTTTTATTATTTTATTTAAATATTTTAAGTGAATTGATGGTAAGAAATGTGATTACCACAATAAATTCATGCACAAAATTTAAAACACAGGTATTGGGGAAGGGTGTAACAACACCAGTCTTTGTACTTGACATTAATTTACACAGTTTTGAGTTAAATGTTATGTTTTCAAACTACTTCAGTTTATAGCAGATACATATGGGAATAGTATTTTAAAGTTTGAGACACATAATAATAAAAACCCAATAAGTTTCAGAGATTGAAACAAAATGTGCCATAACACTCTTCTATCTGACATTTAGACGATTAAATCTCTGAGCCAATTCATTGCTTATTGTCATAATGTATGTTTACATACATTTTGGAGAGATGTACCATTATTGTCTAGAAAGCTTCACCTTTAACAAAGAAATAATAATAACTAAATGCAAAGCTATTTAGTCCTCTATTGTTTTGCAGGTTGTATAAGAAGCAGATTTTCTGAATCTCAGATGTTGCACTGCGACTCTTCCAACTGTTTACGTCTGTCCATTTGTCAGACAGGCACTGACAATCTGCCTCTTGATTGCACTCTTTTTTTCAGTTTGTCATGCTGTTTACTGGAAACCGAAGATCTGAATGGGAGCCAACAACCGCAACAGCTGAGAGGAGGCCCTAGAAGCCTCTCACAAAAGTAGAGGGAAGTTTGACATGATTGCATCCCTAAAATTAAACCCTGCACAAACAGAATACCGGGCAGCAGCTCTGTGCACAACCCTGCATTCACATGCTCTTTGGTATGACGGTGACATGTAGGTACGTAGGTATCAGACTTTATACTGGTCAGTGGTTACAGAAGGCCATGCCTGTCCCAGGGGAAAGACAATAAACTATGTCTATCTTCAGCCCTATTAGGAATAGACTATGTAATGATGAGAGCTGTCATGTTGTAGACATACAAACTTTAATTTTCCTCATTTTGCTTTAAAATTATGTTATCTCTAATCAGGGTATGATGAAATGTTGTGATATGAAGCGTTTCGTTACAATCCATCATTGTCACCAGAGCTTATTGGCCTGCACACATATGTGCACACTCCTAAATTTTTATGTGATTTATGTTTTATATGCTTTTTCCACTGTTGAAAATGCTCCATTCCTATGTTAGTTTCTGTTCACTGAGTTCTTGGGTGGCTTGTGAAGATTTCCCTGGTTGAATCCATGTGTAAGAGTGGGATGATATGTTTGTCATAGGGGCTAGGTGTTGGAATTCAGCAGAGAATTTCCTGCCAGTTAAAATCCTTAATATACCTGGAGCTTCAGAAGATGATCCAAAACACATGCAACCAAATCCATCACACTGCTTCAGTCAATGGGCCAAAATACACCAAGCAGAGAGAGACAGACAAAAGGAATGAAGGACACCCAAAATCATTTTTCTGAAATGTGACCCTGGACGACAAAACCAGTCATACGGGTCCATTTTCGAAATTGAGATTTATACATCATCTGAAAGTCCAGGGTCACAAATGTTTGATCATTCGTTCATACATTCGTTCATTCATTTATTCATTCAGTGAGTGATTAGTTCTGTAATTTTATTTAATTAATTTTTATTTGTTATTATTGTTTTTAATTTTTTTAAATTTTCTATATATTTATAATATACTAAATATTGATTTATATTGTTAATATTTATTATTTTGTATTGTTTTGTATTTATTATTGCTTTTATGTATTTTATTTATATTTTTATATCAGATTGATCAAAATGTCAAAGCTCCTTAGGGTGTTTAGATATGTTCATCATTTGATTAATAACTTTTTATGTTCTTTATGTCAAGGTATAAAGAGTGGATCCCTATTTCTCTAAAATATGGTCACCACCCGCTGTCTGTTTCATTGCTTGTGGCATCTCCACATGTCCGACACTATGGCCATGAATGAATCCTCTGTGGCGCTGCAACCGCACAGAAGCAACCCACCCCAACCTCTTTGCAACCTCCACCCTTTCCTCCATATGTTCCCAATACATCTAAACCTGTGGCCTGGGGGGCTCCCACTAAGCACCTGCCCCTGCCCAGGCTACAATGGGGGCTATTCTTCATGAAGGATGGACAATCTAACATTGATGATGACTTAGGAATATCATCAAGTTATGAGGGAGTGAGATCAGTGTCCTTTTATAATTTTTCTGAAGGTGATGGTCTATGGGAGTGCTGATGTGTGTGCATTTGTATAAGCGTGTGTTTGTCAATGTTCTTTGTGCATCTGTTTGTGCACGTCTTGTAGTTTCCCCCATGTCTGGTTTTACCAGTCTTACAAAGGGGATTTTTTCAGTTTGTTCGCACCATGCAGTGAGCTGTTATCAGTTAGATCAACACATGCTAAACGTAGGATAAAATGCCCTTGATTTGACTGTAATGCTGAGTTTAGGATGGAATGTAAGCAAAACGAGCCAGCGCAAGCATTTTTTATTTCTTCTGACAGTGGTTTGGCGCAGTGTCTTCAGACATGCTTGTCTTTAAAAATTATCAATTTAACTTGCTTCACAGTTTGAACAGAGTTCAGCTTCCTCGCTTCACCAGAAATGATCTGATCATGGCTGTAGGTTCATGGCTGAGTGTCCCGATGGTTATGATGGTTTAATGAGAATGCCAGGGTCAACAAATATGTTGCTGTTATGTGGTCGCTGGATATTTTGTGTTCATTAGTGAAGGGTTTTTCAAGCTGCCAAAATGCCATTTGCAGTTTAAAACGGTGTTGTGTAAACTCTCCCTTATTTACAATTTTTTTTCCAGCTGATGGACAATAAAAACATAAAAGCCAATCAGAATTCACCCAACATTTAAAGCGGCAGATGCCGTAACTGCGCTCTCACATATAATAAACAGAATGTTATCATTTGTTGTTGTGGATGCTAATATAGATATTGTTACAGTTATCTTTAGTTATTGTTCTTGGTGTAAAAGGGCCTTAATTTTATGAGAATAAGGAAAACCAAATCACACCTAGCGATAACGGCACAGAGGAATGGCATAACATTCAGAATGATTTTTCCAGCTGATGAATGATAAAAACATTAAAGGCCAATCAGAATCCAGACTTGTGCATTTAAAGTGGCAGGTGACAAAACTTCACTCGTACTTAAACAGAACATTATCATCCACTGATGTAAACCCTAATATTGTTAGTTATCTTTTTGGTTATCGTTCTTTATCTGAATGGGCCTTAATTCTATAAGAATTGGTCATTTCACAGCTATGTTGATAACAACATTGGAACAATATTTTGGAATCACTTTCAGAATAATTTTTTCCCAGCCAATGAACGGTAAAAACACGGACAGCCAATCAGAATCCAGCTTGAACATTTAAAGTGGCAGACTACAAAACTTTAAATTTATAATAAACTGAACGCTATTGTCCATTGTAACGGATGCTAATATAGTTATCATTCTTGGTGTCGACGGATTTAAGAGTGTGCGTGGTATGTGCATTAGCAGGAGTATGTTTGCATTAGTGTGTGCGTCTCTGTGTGCTCAAGACCTGTTCAGTGGGTACTTCTGACAGACAGGGAAATAAACAGGAACTTGGAATGCCACAAGTGTAAACACTCATGAGCCACCCCACTGTGGAAACCGTCTCTCAGACGCTTCCTTCACCTTTATCATGTTGTCAAGGTGATAATGACCACCATTTTTGAAGACTGACTGATTGGTATCAAATATGTTGTGTAGGCGCTTATGTAGGTGTTAAATTTTCCACTCCTTAAATTGACTTCTAAAGGAGTAAGTGTCTTGTCAAATGCTGCAGGCAAACTCTACCAAATACCCATCAGATTAATGTTCTGACCTCTGGGTCTTTGCGGCAGGCATACATGTGTTTCATCTAGATGTCACTTTCTGCTGGAGGGTAAAAACTGACTTCAGCCTTCTAAGAATGATTGACAGTGCGGGACAAACCATAGCTTTGAAGAATGTGCTTTTTGTTTCAGTCATATTGCCTTTTAGGTTGTTGCAGCTTATCATCAACAGCTAATGTGGAACTCCATATATCAAGTTAAGAGTCTTGCTACCTTTTGGCAAGGGTCCTGCCATCTGTCATCACTTATTGTCTCTTAATAAATATAATTGAATGCAATTTCAACTGTCTTATCTGCAAATAGAAAGGCGTGAAGTTAGAGGTCACACAAAAACCACTGT